GGTTTGGCCCCGTGGCCGGGCACCAGGGCGGCCCCGCCTCGCCCCCTCCCCCAGCAGCCCACTGCTCTGCCCACAGGACTCGCTCAGCAGCAGCCTCCAGACCTGCGACAAGGTGGAGCTGCGGTGACAGCCCGGCTGGGAGAGGGGCAGGGGAAGCCCGAGGGGGGGGCCTGTGCCCCTGCTCCAGTCCCTTAAATAAGGCAGAGGTCTAGGGCTCAAGGGGTCAAGTCCCAGCTGTGTCGGTGACCGCGGGCGAGTGCATCTGCCTCTGTTTCCCCTCCCTCTCTTGTGAGCTCTTTGGGGCAGAGGCTGCGTGTGCAGCGCCCAGCACCGTGGGGTCCCACACTCAGCCAGGGCAGCGTCATATAACTTCCAGCGTCGGCTTGCCTCATGCCAGAGGGGGCCAGCGGGGCGGCTTGGCCACGGCAGGCTGGGCGTCACGCAGACGTGTTTGCTCCTGGCCGAGGCTGCTTCCACCTCTCTGCTGCAGCTGTTCCGAGCGATGCGTTGGGAGCACATGGGGCTGCAGATGGTCTCGGTGATTGACTCTTTCAGCGCATCAAAGAGGAGCTCGGGGGTGGGGGTGGGGGGCGGCTGCTGCTCCGACAGTGACTCCCTGTAATCCAGGGCAGCGAGAGTTAAACGGTTCAAAGGAATTTCCCCCGCTGATGAGCGAGTCTCTCATAATTAAACATTTATTAGCTTGGGGTTTCATCAGCGCCACCAGAGTTCAGGCTTCATGACGCCCCTCCCCCAAGGCAGCCCATTGACGGGCAACCCCACCCCGACACCCACCAGCACCCTCAAACCCTCGCCTCAGGTGGCAGCCCTCAGGCTGGGATTAGTCAGCACCACCACCCGGCACTAGGTGCCAAGGACGTCTCAGGTCACAGATAACTGAGCAGCGCTTAATGCCAGCCCGGGAGAGGGGAGCCCAAAGACTGTATTTCTGGCTGGGAGACGCTGCCTGCCGTGGGGAGGGGAGGCGAGGCAGCGGGTAGAGCGGAATAGCTAGTGCAGCGAAGGAGTGGGGTGGACAGGGCAGCTTTCGCCGCAGCCTCTCTCCTGACAGATGGCCGTGCAGGCCCTCGGTGGGGTCAGGCGAGGCACAACAGCCATAGGAATCCTCATCTTCACCCAGAAAAGTGGGTCCCTGCTGCCAAATCTGTGGGGCCAGGTGGTAGCCCGTGGAAGAGCTGGCAGGGACGCGAATAGCAGCAGAAGAGTGCGGCTGATGGGGCCCCAGCTGGTGCGGATGCGCCCTGTTCGAGAGCTAGTCTCTGGTCTGGGGCACTGAGCCATAAGCTTAGCCCACTGATGTCTGTTACCTGTGAGGCACCTGTATATTCTCTGCTATGCTACGGCCTTAAAGAGGGTGAAACCTGCTTCCTGAAAACCTCCCCTGTGGAAGCCCAGCTCCCCATCCTGGCCTGAGGCTGGAGCGCACTGCTCTTTGGCAAGTCAATGCTTCCCAGGCCCCAAAGGGAGTTACGGGAAGCAGCATACATTAAAGCAGCCCTGGGGCTGCTCTAAATTACACCAGGGGAACGGACAGGCCTCTGAACACCCTCCAAATGCAGGGAGCACAAATGTAGCTTAAAGCTACCTTAATTGCCGACCCTTGGTCCTTGTCCCAAGCACAGGATGCAGTCACAGAGAATCAGGGTTCCTTGATAGGGTGGAGACTGGCTATGTTTGGACTTGTAGCAAAACCCTGGATCATAATACCTCTGCATTGTGAAGGGTGCAAAATCTGGATCCAGCTCCAACATTTGCAAATGCCTCCCGGCTTCTCGCTGGACTGAAAGACACACACACATGGCCCAGCCTTCCCTGAACCTTGGGGCACTCGAATCCCTGAGCCCCAGCTGAATTTTGCAGCTTGGCCCCATCACTCTGCTCTTCAGAAGAGGGTGGGTTTTGGGGTACACCCAACAACAGCCCCTCTTGTGCAGTCAGAGTGCCCACCAACCTCCCCTCATGTTTATGGCTGGGTGGGCGCCAGCCCCTGAATTATCCTGTTTCCCAACCAGAGGGAACCTTGTTCGCTAAGTCACTGAATTACGCCCTTTGTTCTCACACAGCAGGGCAAGGAAGGAGCGTGTGCTGAGCATCTGCTGCCATTGGAAACGTGCTGAGCGGGGGTTCGGGTCCCAAGCGTTCACCCCTGTTTAGTCTGGGGATTGCTGTCTGCACCCCACCACTTCGCAAATGATGCTGCCACCCAGTTTGCAGCCAGCCCGAAGAGGAAGCGATCCATCAAGCCTGTGCGTAACCGTGCTGCGTTATTCCCTAAGCTTGCTGGATCCCCGAGGGCTAAAGGGGAGGGGTGGGGGCTATCATGCTATGAACCCCCTCCCCGTCTCAACTCCACTTTGCATTGTGCTTTGCACAGACAGGCTCCGCTCCAGTCCAGATACATGGCAGCTTCTGAATCTTGGCCTCGGACCTAAACTGGCAGCTAATCCGGGCTTGCAAACAGCTTGAAAAAAACACTGAAAGAGGCTAAGAGCGGAATGAAACAGCAAACAAAAGCCAATAGTGCCAGCAAATGTACCAGGGGCAGCAAAGGCAGGAGGAAAGAGCCCGCACAGCGTCCGCCCTCAGAACAGGGCTCAGGCAGGCAGGTGAGCCACGTTTTCAGCAAGTCGTACCACCCTGGCTTTCCATCCGCTTGCTCTCCAGGCATTTTTATTATTTCTCACCACTCTTGGCGCACAGATGGCCCTCATTAAAAAGCAAAATTAGTCTTTCACCCTCTTGTGGCAAACTTCAGAGCCTCGGATCAGCTGTATTAGGCTGAATTAATTACCAGCGGATTGTTCCTATTCTGCTAATTATGCTGAAATATGCATTAAACACTGGAAATTAACATGGGCTGCACAAAAAAATTATTTAGCACTTAAAAAAAAAAACCCAATTTTTTTTCCGCAGGAGGGAATTGGCTGGAACTGGCATCCCAATGCAAAGCAGGTTCTTGACGGTGCAGCCGGCTTTGAGTCTGAAACAGCCCTGGTTCTTGTGTCGCTATTTACATCACTGCGTAGGGCTGTGTGACTTTGGAGGAGTCACGTCCCAGCTCTGTGCCTCAATTTACCTGCTCCCACCGTCTGTCTGTCTTGTCTATTTAGGCCTGGCCTACATGAAGAATTGCACCACTTTAATGAAGGATGGGAATTTAAGCTGGTTTCATTCAAGCCCTGTGTGGACGCTCCTGTTTCAGTTGAAGAGTTGCTTGCTTTGGTTTAGCTTGAGTCGAATGAGAACAAGTTTTAGGTAAATGAAATAAGCTCTTTCTGAAACAAATCCAAGTAATAAAAGTCTCTGGGGGGCCGGGACTGCCTCTTACTGTGTCTGTACAGCACCTGGCACCACGGGGTCTCCAGCACTCGGTGCTGTCATAAACTCCAACACCCACCCTCCACCCCACCCCATTGCGAAGATGTAAATGACAATGCAGGCTGGGCAATCCAGCCTGTCGACCTCTGTGGAGTGACTGCTGATTCACACCAGTGTAAACACAAAGGGAATTGGGCCCTGGCAGGGATTTCACCTGAGCAAGGATGGCAGGGCTGGGCCCTGGGTGATGGCCACTCCCGGCCCCAGTGTCAGGCAGTGGGGAGGAGACGGGGCACGTTCTGTGCTGCGTGACCCGTGAGTTGCAGGATGGCACTGTTCTCTGGAGTGTTTAATGAGGGCTAAGCAGCCTTGGATGGTAACTGACGTGTCAGTGACTGGGAGAGGAAGGGAAATGAGGTAGGGAGGCCACATGTAACCATGCGTCTGTGGTGGGGAAGGAGAGCTCCTTGTGTTTCTTTACCATATAAAACACGGGATGCCAAAGAGAACCAGGGCTCCCAGGCTGCAGGGACGCGTGTTAGAGCTCAGAGGCAGGAGGCTCCCTCAGGAGCCAAGTCCTGGAGAAAGCACCCCCATGAGGCAGGAGCCACAGCATTGGTATAGTTGCCTGGGACTGTCTTGTCATTCGTACTGTAGAGGCTCCCCCGAGAGCAGGGCCCCCTTGTGCCAGGTGCTGCCCTCAGTGAGAGACAGACCCTGCCCTAAAGAGCTTACGATTTCTGTGGACAAGACAGGAGATTAGCACTCTTTTACAGGTGGGGAAACTGAGGCACAGAGCCACAAAGAAACTTGCCTGGGAAGCCTGGGGCAGGGTTGGAATTTGCACCTACATTTCCTGAGTGTGGACCCACTGCCTTAGCCCCAAGGCCACACTTCTTCTCACAGCATTGCGCCCATCAGCACGGGAGTTGCAGTCATTTCCTTTCCAGGTGATGGCTGCTGTCAGTGTGACCTTCACAAGCGTCTGCGTCACTCCCGCTTCATTGCCTCCCGCAATATCACTGGCTCTCGTGGGCTCCTGGTTTCTTTGATCCTTTGGGAATTTCGTTTCTTGGCTAATCCAGTGGCTCTGGCTTTCGAAGTCTAATTAACTAACTGCGCTAGCTCATTGTGACGTGAAGGGATCGACTAGAAAACAACAGCACTTTGCACTGCTCAAAGCTCCTCCCACCTGGGGATCTCAAAGCCCTTAACAGTCAATCATTCCACCCCTTTCCCAGGTCGGGAAATATTATCCCTAAATATCTAAGGAATTTATATGGCCCAATAAAAGCTGAGCACCTTGGGGGAAGGGGAAACTGAGGCACAGAGCTTTTAAGTAACTTGCTCGAAGTCAGACAGCAAGTCAAGGGGTGGGTGGGAGCTTGGACAGTACCCAGGAGCCCCGAGTCCAAACTCCTTGCTCAAAAAAGTCAATTACACTCCCCTTCCAAAGCAGGGAATAAAACACAGGAATCCTAACTCCCTGTTCCCAGCTTTGGCCACTGGAGCAGGGAAAAGAGCCCAGGACGTCTGACTCCCACTCACTTACTCTTGGCCCTGGCAGATATTGTCTGTCAGCAAGTGGAGCAGAAAACAGGACATGCCGAAGAGGTGTGTGGAGGAAAAGGCAGGAGGCCTCAAAAGCAACGGACTCACACGACATTTATTTTTATTTTATTATAAAAAAATACAGACTCCAGATGAAGGGATCGGGTTTACCATCAGCACGACGTCGAGAACGAAAGCTGCATGTCTAAGAACCAAGCTAGGCTGAGCTGAAACCCACAAGCGAAAAACAGTTCCCGTAAGATGGGTTCATCCCCGAATGGAAAACCAACCCCGCCCCAACAAACAAAAAAACCCCATTTTTTAAATTTAGAGCTTCACTTAAATGCTGCTTCCTTGTTTGCTTTTTCTTTATTCTCTCACCGTCGCTGTACTATATATATATATATAACATATATACCACAGACCAAAGGCCCGATTTTGCCACCGTTGCACTGCCTGCGGTCCCAAGATTATTTATATTACGAGAGCCAACCGAGATGGGGGTCTTATGGTGTTAGATGCTGGACATTCACCGTCCCTGCCCCAACGAGTTTACAGTCAAAGCCCCTTGTCCTGAAAGCAGGCTCTGGGTTAGCTGGTCTGTCCAGGATCGAGCCCCAACAGACAAGATAGACAAAGGAAGTATTCTTACCAGCTGGGGGACTGAGGCTCGAATTTTTAAAGGAGGCACTGACTGTCCATGGGAGCTGGGCACGTAAAATCCTTCTGGCTCCTTTGAAAATCCCAGCTGAGTCAGCAAGTTATTTAAACACGGGCACATGAGTAGTTCCACTGGCCTCCAGGACCACTCATGTGCTTACGTCGCTTGCTGAATCCGGTCCAAAGGTCCCACCAGAATCTGGTCTCCTGGGTGCCAGGCCACCCTCCCTTCCCTCTTTACGCCATTGGCTGACTGCTGGGACAAGGCTACTCGATTTGAGCCAGGGAAGCAAAGTCTGGCCCCTACGGACAGGGAGGAGGGTGACGCTTGTATAAATGTGGTGCTTTCGTCTGCCTTTAAGAAACGTTCCCTGGTCTAGATACAGTGGGGGGGCCGGGAGGGAGGGGAAGCGGAGCTGGAATTGTTGATAGTCAAGATAAGCTTATTGCGAGTTTTTAGCTTCCTAGTCTAAAAAATAAAAACAAAATAAAATTAACATAAAACCTTCCATAAAATTCATTCTCAACGATACATTAAAAAAAAAAACCTGTCACAGTATAATGCCTGCTGGCCATATTTACAGAAGGACCAGACCTGCTCTGGTTCAGTCCCTGGGGCTCACGGAGAGATGCTGTAGAAACTGACGGTTTCCGTGCGCGTTTGAAAAAGACATCCGTAGAAAGACCGTTTTTTGTACTATTATTAGGATTGTGATTTTAAATCTAAGCTTTATTTCCTGGAATGGAGGAGACGACTCGAGTTCTGCCCTCATGGTGGGGCGAGCCGGGCAGCAATGGAGACACCTGCAGATAGGGCTCCTGCTTTAGAAGGTGATGCAAATCTCACCCCCGGCCCCTTCTTCCCAGCCAAAGACTCTTCCCCCACCCCAAACCCACCCACTGCATCCCTTGGAGAGAGACGGTAGCATTCTGCCAGCACCTTGCTGGACTCCTCTCTAATGGGCACTGGTATGTGCAAGGAAGAATCAGCCATTCGCTTTCCCCCACCACTGCCACGACCTCTTCCATGTTCCTTTGCTTGTCCCGCTTTCTTAGTTCTTATTCCCTGGAATGTAACTTCCTTTTGTCACCAAAAGCCTCCATTAGGGGTTGGAGCACAGGAGAAGGGGCAGAAATTAGGAAGTGGGGTTTTATTAGGAGATGGGCTTGTGCCAAAACACTAGACGCAGACAGACTGTCCCCAGATGTAAGGACAGGAGAGGCTGAGATCCAGGCTTGGATGGGGATCTGAATTTTGCAAAATGGGCCCCATCTAATCATCTGAATTCCGAAGTGTGGGGCCAATCGGCGGCTTTATTTGAAAGCGGAGAAGGAAGCAAAGAAAGCCAAGCCAGCAGTTATTCCAAGCAAGTAACAGCGCAACAGAGGAACAAGCCATCAGGATGTGCAGGATCGAAGGAGACTCGTAAAGGGAAGGAAGGATCCCCAGGGAAAACTTCATAGAGATCCACCCCCTCAGGTCAGCTCCATTCTCTTTACTGCTGTCTCAGCCTGATTAGCAGCTCGCTTGCATGTGTAATACAGCCGGGGATCACTGAGCTGGGTGGTAAGGACAAGACAGATGGGCTTGCTCTGCTCCACATGTCTAGAAGCAGTGGCCACAGGAGAGGGAATTGGAATGGCAGCACTGGTGATGCGGATCCGTGTTGGGAATTTTCTGTAGTATCTGGCTGATGAATCTTGCCCATATGCTCAGGGTTTAGCTGATCGCCATATTTGGCGTCGGGAAGGAATTTTCCTCCAGGGCAGATTGGAAGAGGCCCTGGAGGTTTTTCGCCTTCCTCTGTAGCATGGGGCACGGGTCACTAGCTGGAGGATTCTCTGCTCCTTGAAGTCTTTAAACCACGATTTGAGGACTTCAATAGCACAGACATAGGTGAGAGGTTTTTCGCAGGACTGGGTGGGTGAAATTCTGTGGCCTGTGTTGTGCAGGAGGTCGGACTAGATGATCATAATGGTCCCTTCTGACCTAAATATCTATCTATGAATCTATGGATCAGCGGGGTTATGGAGGAAGGGGCACTGCTTTCTCAAAGGGACTTGCGGGAAGCAGGGAGGGGAGAGGGAAAGGTTGCCGTCAGTGCTGGGAGCGAATTAAAACCTAAGTACGGAGTCAGCGATGTGAGAGGAGGAAGGTACTAGGCAAAGATTTGGGGCCAGATCCTCAGCTGGTGTAAACGGACGTAAGTCAGTGGAGCGATGCTGATGTCAACCAGCGGAATTTTTAGCTTTGGGAACCCAGGATGGTGACCTTCACCTGCACACGGCCTAGTTTAGTGGCTCGCGTGAGCCATGGAAGGGCTCTGCGCCCAAGAGTGAGTTCAACCCAGATGCCCTCCGAAGGCCCCAGGCTCCCTCTGCATCCCCTGCCCACTTAATTCCCCTTTGCGCCATGGGGAGGTGGTAACCAGCCAGAGCCTCTTCTAAATACTAGCCCCACCCGAGACTGGTTACATTCCTGACATTAACACCCCCCCCCCCCAAGCCTTTCTGCTCAACTTCCAGATGCCCCTTTCCCAAACTAGATTTTTGATCCTGCTCTCAGTGACCTCAGTGGCAACCCCCCTTCCCCCCGCATTCACCCACTTTCTTCACTGGGCCCAGTAACCCTTCTGCAGGCGTTGCTCCTTGGTTTTCCAAGGACGTCAATTGCAGGGTCAATTACATTTGGCTGGCTTAGGTGTATACCTGCCCATCCCTCCCACAAGAAAACCGACCCTCCCCCCGCCCAAAGAAACAACCCACATATCTATGAAAACAGTACAGTTGTCCCACAAGGTTCTGACAACCAAGCCAGGTCAGCGCTCCTCCATAAAGCTTTCGATGGCCTGTTTCCATCCTGGCCCCCTGCCTCCAAAACATAAGCCTGAAAGGAGCATTAAGGTATTAGCACCGCTCTGTCCAGGTGGTCCTGAGTCCAGCGGTACGAGCAACGGCAAACAGCTGGGCTAGTTTGGGAAAGACTCCAATGCAGTGTAAGCACTGCCGTTCTCGGCCTGCATCCGGCATGTCCCAGAGTCCGGGCACCTTGTTTGCTTGCCAGCCACCAGCTCCCCTGCTTGCAGCCAGGGACTGAATCTGTCTGAGCATCACGGAAAACCTGGGAAGGAAAGCCCAAGCTAGCCCCTGATCCTGCATTCCTTGACGGCTTGGAAGGGAACGTTGCTCATGGAGATTTCTGAACCACAGATGGGGGAGGGGGTCTCGTTGTGTGGCTAAGTCTCAAGAAGTGCGAGAAAAGCACTAAAAAAAAAAAAAAATAAAATAAGGATTCTAATATTTGGTCTAGAAATTTCAAAAGCAAAGTCCTACAAGGAGGGTCAAAGTGAGCTGAGCGCCAGCACTATGAAAAGTGGGCCATCCCGGAAGCAGGAAAGCAGCGCCGATCCCCCCACTGCTCTTTTTCATTGGTATTTTGTCATTCCCCGCCTCCAAACCAGAGTGCTGGGGTGCAGGGCAGGGGTGTTATTTTGTACATTGGTAGAAATTTTGCAGCCTTCTTCCAAGTGAATCCACGCCAGGAACAAAAATTCTCCGAGCTGGGAATAAGGCCGGGATAGGAAAAAAATCCTTCTTCGTGTCCCTGCCCAACCCACCTCCCAGCTCAGGAGTCGCAGTTCAAAGGTTATTGTGAAAAAGAGAAAACTTTTTAAAAACAAAGCAAAAGGCTGGCTCGAGAGGGTTCATTCTCCCCGGAGGCAGAGAGAACGCATCTCTTCTCCTGCGTGTCCCCATCTCTCTCCTCCTTTCCCTGCCAAACCACTCCCCTCTTCCTTTGTTTTCTCCTCTCGGGGCTAGGAGGTGAGAATAGTCCAAAACACCGGTACCACGAGGATGAGGTGCGGGACCCTGAGGCTGCAGCAGGAGTTATTGCTGGTGAAAATAGGCTCCGGAGATTCATACAGGGAGTCATCTGTGAAGGGGGAGGAAAAGAGACATGTCAGACCACAAAATGCCCACCTGGGAAGCTGTAGGGCCTGATCCTGCAATGTGCTGAGCGTGGTCAACAGGGGGGGCTTGGCACCTCAAAGAATTGTTTGGTTCTCTCCCACGATCAGGCCCACCAGGGGTCTGAGCTGTGCTCCTCTTGCATTGGATCGTATCCGTGGTGCCTGCAGAGACCTGATCCAACTGCAAGGTTGTCAACCCCCTGGGTTCTGAAATGAGGAGTCAGCCCCCACCTCCCAACAAATCTTGAGATTGGCTTAGAAATCATGAAATTTTGAAGTAACAACTATTAGGTTCTTTTTTCAGTGTGTGTGTGTGTGTGTGTGTGTGTGTGTGTGACACACATTTACAAGCTTTTTTCCATAGCTAGCAACGTGAGAACCGTACTTTAATAGGGTGTTTAAATGAGTTGAGAACCTTGCCTAATCATATGATTCCAAGAACTGGGGTTTTAAAGAAACCCACCAAATATTAGAAGAGTGGCGATAAATGCAACACTGAGATTGCAGAATTGGTGTCTGAGATTGTAAAGCTCTTTGGAGCTGGGACTATGAGCATTTCTAGCTGCCCTGGGAGGAGCCTAGTACATACTTATGGATGTCGTGAAAGAATAAATCATCCTAATAGGAACTGCGAGACAGGAAGAGATCCAAGAGCCAACTAGCCCTGTATGTTGTCTCCCACAGCGGCCAATACCAGACAATAAGAGGAAGATGTAGGAACCCAGACATTGGTTAATGATGTGGGATAATCTGCTCCCTACATCAGGTGACTGGCTTAAGCCCTGAAGGCTGATGGTCCCTTCAGAAATTTTTGGCGTCATTAATCAATTTGCATAATCAAAGACATGCTCTTCATCTAGGAAGGTCAGTAGCTAGCTGTGTGCATAACACACTGTAGTTTCTAATCCTTTCTTCTTGGGCACATCAAAAGAAAACTTCTTCCCAACTGATTTTGTTGTCTTCAAGAGATCCAGACACATGGCGTTCCAGATCATATCCACACCGGGAAACTAAACTCACTTTAAAAAAGGAGAGAAAATACGGCTGCTGCATTTTAGAGCTGCTCACACCTTGATCCCTTCCCTTCCCCCGCATTTAATTTCAATGGAGCTTCCCTCCTTCACCTGCCACTTTCGCCTGGCTTCGTTTGGTCAGTTATTATTATTCTTTGTTTCATTTGATTTATTATATCCATAGAAATACCAACAAAGGGAACAGGAACATACAACCAGCATGCGGAAAGTGATTAGGCTGTAGAGCAAGAATACAGTCAACCTCAAGCATTCAAAAATAAAGAGCGAGGCCTTCAGAAGTCATGAGACTGGCTTAACGCTCTTAAGATTTAAAAAAGAAGAACGCACGCTAGGCTCTTTTTTTATTTGGCCTCTTGTGCCGGAAACTTCACAGGTCCCGTCTTCTAATTTTCTTCTGCCACCACGGGGGCTGGAATTCTAGCTTCGGGTCTTTTTGTTTGTTTTTAAATGAAAGCCAACATCCTCATATAATCATATGACACCCGGAGTAATTTACCACACTAGCAACTTACCAAACAGGAATTAATTCAGGGAAGTCCCCTGGCCCGTGCTAGACACAGGAGACCAGATTTTGTTATCACAATGATCCCTTCTGGCCTAGGAATCTCTGAATCAGAAAAACCTCCGACATTGTGAGCCTCGTGGTAAAATCGTGAGAACTGGCAGTGCTGGATCAAAGGAATGGAAAAGCAATTCCATAGTAAGAGCCCGGCACCAGCAATGAGACCCAAGAGGGGAAACAATGGGCCCAGATCCGACATCCTCGCTCACTGATTTCAGCCAGGAAAGATCTGTTGAGCTTGAGTAAAGGTGGCAAAATCTGGCCCACAGAAACAGAAAATCAAGGGGGTTGCAAACGTGTACCTGGCAAGTGCTAGCCCAGAAAATAGCTATGGCTCTGCTCTTGGGGACGCTTAAGCAGGTGAGTAACTTTTCTCCTGAGAGCAGTTCCCTTTAATTGAGACGCGGGTAAAAATGGCGTGAGGCACTGGAGCCTTGCCAGAGGAATGGGAGACAGCGTCTAGTCGAGACAGGCTCTGCCTAGCCCTTGGGCACCATCACTGAATGATAACGGTTCCTTCCGCACCTTAGTCCCCGTGTTGGTAGTCAACCTCGCTGCTTAATTCCCCATGCAACCAGGTTCTGCAAAACCTCTGAGGTGAGGCCTGATCCAAAGCCCACAGAAGACCATGGGCATAAGAGCAAGGGTCAGACCAAGGGTCCATCTAGCCCAGGATCCTGTCTTCTGACAGTAGCTGGTACCAGGTGCCTCAGAGGGAATGAACAGAACAGGGCAATTATCGAGTGATCCATCCCCTGTTGTCCAGTCCCAGCTTCTGGCAGTCAGAGGTTTAGGGACACCCAAAGCATGCGGTTGCATCCCTGCCCATCGTGGCCAATAGCCATGGATGGACCTGTCCTCCATGAATGTATCTAGTTCTTTTTTGAACCCTGTTATACCTTTGGCTTCATGACATCCCCTGGCAATGAGTTCCACAGGGTGACTGTGTTGTGTGAAATACTTCTTTTGTTTGTTCAACCGGCTGCCTATTAATTTCACTGGGTGAGCCCTGGTTCTCGTGTTATGTGAAGGAATAAACAACAACACTTCCTTCTTCACTTCCTCCACACCAGGCATGATTTTACAGACCTCCATCACGTCCCCCCTCAGTCGTCTCTGTTCCAAGCTGAAAAGTCCCAGTCTTTTCAATCTCTCCTTGGAAGGGCTTTGAATCGGGCTCTCGGTGCAGCGTGAAGACAGGTGCTAGAGAAGCAGAGACCCGGTCCTACTCTTGTGCAGTCCCGGCAGCAATGCTGGCATGCGTAGGAACCCCCAGTTCCAAGACAAACACAGGCCCTTGCAAAGGGAGTTCTGTGCACATTGGCCAGACGGGAGAGCTAAGCTAAACCACAGCGAGGAACTGCAGCTGCTGAGTTTGGAGGCTGACTGGAGCCAGCAGCTACAGGACAGCGAAAGTGGGGCACTCAGCAAGGCCTGGAGGGAATGATGCGAAATGAAAATACCAGCTGGGCAGGTATGAAAGCTCAGCCCTGGGTGGGCTCTGTCGCTGCCTTTATGGGCTGATGTTCTCAAGGTGCGCGGTGCAGGATGTTTTTGTTCTGCTTCATTAAAACCAGGCTGACAGACTTATGGGAATATCTGCCTGCCTGCACAGTGAGCCTTGCGGAATGAAGTCCCCGACAGCCCCATGGAGTTCAACGCCAAAGATGTTGTTCAAAAGCTGGCTGGGACCCAGAGGTGTCCAACTGGGTCTTGGGTGCTGGACTGTCAGTCTGGTGATCTGAGGACTTGAGAAAAAGCCACAAACCGGACAGCCGTCAACCTCTCAAAACATATGAGGTAACTGCTCAAGACATGAGGTGATTGTCCCGTATTGGTGAAGCCGCAGCTGCAGTCCTGTGTTCAGCTCTCGGTGCCGCACTTTTGGAAAGATGTGAGTAAACTGGAGAGAGTTCAGAGGAGAGCAACAGAAATGATCAGAGGTTTAGAAAACCTGAGCTGTGAGGAAAGGTTGAAAGAATTGGGCAGGTTTAGTCTGGAGAAGAGAAGGCTGAGGGGGGACCTGGTAACAGTCTTCAACTATGTAATAGGCTGTTATAAAGAGGAGGATCTGTTGTTCTCCATGTCCACTGAAGTTAGGATAAGAAGGAATCAGTTTAATGTGCAACAAGGGAGATTTACATCGGATATTAGGAAAAACTTTCCGACTGTAAGGAAAGTGAAGCACCGGAACAGGTTAGCTAAGGAGGTTACGGAATCCCTGTCCTTGGAGGATTTAAGACCAGATTAGACAGACCCTTGTCAGGGCTGGTCTAGGGTTATTTAATCCTGCCTCTCGGTTGCACTAGATGACCTCCTGAGGCCCCTCCCAGCCCTACATTTCTATGATTTCCATTATCTCTCTTCCTGCGTCTGTCTGTATTTCACACGCAGTACGATGCATCCCTGGCCATGTGTCTGTCTGTATTTCACACGCAGTACGATGCATCTGTCTTTCCCACATGTTTTATTGTAATATAAACAGCTGAATAACAGGTAATCGGGAGGCAAATTCTTTGAATCCCGGGGCATGCTCTTATCTGCTCTTGTTCCCAGCCTCCGTGCAGTGTGGGAGAGGGGGCCCGGGAACTCCCCGCACTGACCCTGGGGGTAGGGGTAGGGTTATTGCTCTGTAAATGGGATTAGAAGGCATTTCATCCCGATTCTCTCCTAAGCCTCTCCCTGACAGCAGGGTATGCCAACTATGCGGGTGGTATTGTGCAGGATGGATTAGATCCGACTGCTGTTGCCAACTTGTAAGAAGCCTGGGAGACTGACACCCTGTAATTCTGGCCAGAGCTGGAGTTGGACCAACGTTTGGGAGGTCAAAGGGCAATTGCTTAATAACACTCCAATAATCCAGCATCCAAAACCCTAGTCAGGCAGCAAAGCGAAGTGCATTAAAGGGAATAAGTTAAATTATGACTAAAGCTGTTAACATGTTCCCTGGGCTCCACTCTCTTATGTTTATTACTGGATTAAAGATCTCACAGACCTGAAGCCAGGAAAAGCAGAGCTTTCCCCAGCCGTTGGTGCAATTTTCTCTTGCTCCTGGCTGTCTTATTTCCTTCCCCCTCTTGTGTCTCTTCTTTTCCTCTGCTCTTCTTCCTTTGCTGCTGCTCTTTTGCAGGGTTTTACACACTTGTGCCATTATTGTTTGGGTTACAGTAGCGCCTCGCGGTTCCACGCAAGTGCAGGGCCCCCACCTGCTCGATGCTGCACAGACACCTAGTTACAGGTTCTTCCTCCATGAGTCTGCAGTCTAAGTAACTCAAGTCGGCATGCAGCGGGGTGCTGTCCTGCGAGCACTGAGTACTCCCCTTGCCCTGCGAACTCCCACTTAGTGGGGAGCCTTCAGCCAGGTAAAGTTTTGGGCTGCCCAGCACGTGGCCTGCTGAGCCCCCATAACGCCACCTGAAATCAACGGGAGGGGGAACGTTCAGGAGCTCAGCACCTCTTCAAAAATCAGGCCTGCTCCCTGCCTCAAGTCGGCCTCCCAGAGAACAGAAGCATTCAAAGACTTTGTGGCTGCTTCTGAACATACAGGGGCTCAGAATCCACCTGCTGGGATCAGGACCCCGTGGCACAAGCTGGCAGTTCAGATCCTCATTTGATCTCGCTTAACAATAACTAAAGGGTTGACTTCGGGCCTGATCCAAAGCCCACTGAAGTCAATGGGAGTCTCTGACTAAGTACCGGTCCAATGCCTAGCATGGTGCGGTCCCCGATCTCAGCTGGGGCTCCCTGGTGGTAGCATAAGAAAATACTAACAATATCGATCGAGATTTTTTTCATTCTACAAAGGTCAACCAAAAACGAGAATGTGTTTTTAGGTGGCTTCGCTATTTGGGGTTTTATTTTAAAGCCGCTCGAATGACAAAGAGAAACGATGTCCTTTTCACCAGGGCAGCCGGTCCCTCACTTCCCCAGCGAGAGCTGCTGCCATGCACTAATTACATGTTAACAGGAGAAGAAAATTATTAATTTGTTTTTTGAAACGCCTGAGTTATTCGATTCTGAAAAGTCACCCCTGTGCCGAGATTATTGTTTTTTCCCCCTCATTTGGAACTCAGCGGCAAACGTCCATCTTGCAGGTTATGTGCCTGGCATGAATGCGGTACCACGCAGCCTCCTGCAGGCTTTGGCGGGGCTGGTGTGCTGGGAATTCAGGTGCCATTCAGCTGGTAGACGAGCTCCTGCGGGAGCGTTCTTCCTACACAAAAATCCTGGCAAAAGGGTGACATCGGTGCGCCTTCAAAGCTGTGACAATAGCCAGGGTTTTAACCTACTGCATCCGAGTGACCCGTGGGCACAAGGTCGATATATGGGGATGGCTTTATTCTCGCCACCACCTTCAAATGTTTTTAAGGCTGCCCTGAGGACCTGCGGGGATTTTTTTACATTGCAAATGAAACCAGGAAGAGCAAACGAATGCAGAGCAAAGCACCCATCGCACCTACACAGTGCCAAGCTCCTCAGCTGGTGTCAACCAGTGTAACACCACTGAAATCAGCACTGATTTACATCAGAGGAGGATCTGGCCCAGGAAGGCAGGATCAGGAGCTTTCCCCGCGCATCAGAATGGCAGGGAGGTTTATCAGACCCTTCTCAGGATCCTCTGAAGTATTTCCTGAGTGTGTTTCTGTGCTGGTACAAGGGGCCAGATCAACATCTCCACACTGCAGGGAAGAGACAGGGCTCCGGTGCAATGAACATGACAGGGATTCTTTTCTCGAGGGTGCTGGACACAGACCCACCATGCGGTCCCCTCTACTTCTCTAGCTCCCACCTGGGCTGCCCAATGTTACCACACAGGGGGTTGCCCAAGTCCTGGCGTGGATCATGCACCCCACAAAGGGACAGCCCCCTACAGTATTCAAAGAGCCTGGGCAGAACAAAAGAGTTTACAAAGCAGGGACTGAAGGAGCCAACGATGAATTGGGGTGAAGTGGGGCAGAGCCAGAACGTTTGGGGCTGGGTCAGAACTTGCGCAAAGTTTAGGGCTGTTTAGATCTGAGCACTTGGCTCAGTTCCGTCTCTAGCATGGGGTTTTGCCAAATCTTTTTTTCCCTTCGTTTAAGCCATTGTACTTGAAGGGAAATTTAATTAGTAAAATCCCCACCCCCCCAGCGCTCCACGCTGGGCAAACTCAAAAGATCACTGACTGGCAGATTCCCACCCTGCTCCTAGCCTGGTCAGGGAAATACCATGAATAAACTCACAGCTGCTCAGAGCTTGCATTTCGCCCTAGCCACATGGAACGGGAAGCTCGGCAGACTCCGTGCCCGGTTCTATGTCGAGAACCCATGGGTTCTAAGCTCTGTACGACGAGTTCTCCCCTCCTGCATACACAGCTTCCCAGCTCCCATCGCCCACATGGGAGCAGGCAACACACTTGAGCTACTTACTCGTTGGTCGAACATAAACCTTCAGCTTTAAGCAGGGCCTGTCCACCATGTTAAGGGGAGGAGCAGCTGGAAGAAACACAAAGGAGAGAGAGAGAAAACACAGTGGTGTTAGAAGAGGAGCGTGACATCCCGTCCCGTTTGCCTTAACAAAAACCAGCACAGTGCTACCTATTAAATCAGCAGCATCTCTCACTGCAGCTCCCCCGGCTTGCGGCGGACTGAACATAACCCAGTTTATTGACGACAATATAGGCCAGAAGGGCACCTGACTCCCTTAAAAAGGAGTACTTGTGGCACCTTAGAGACTAACCACTTTATTTGAGCATGCTTTCGTGAGCTACAGCTCTGAAACCTGACTCCCTTAGGCACTTTTGCAACTCCCAACCATCATTCCCAGAGGCACAACTCAGGGTCAGGGCCACGTTGAACTGGTTGTGTGACTAACACATATAAAGACAGAGCCTCTGCTCCAAAGATCTTTACATCCTAAGCAGACGAGCGACAAATGAGGGGTGTGGGTGGAGGAGGGAGATGGTCAGGCAGGTGCGATTTTTATAGACATACGTGTCATTGCAATTTTTAAACGACTGAGGGCTAGCGCCCCCCACCTGCCCCTCAAGCCAGTGTTGCTCGGCGGATTTCTTAGGGGCTTCGCACCAGAGCTGGGCGTGGGAGAGGTATCTGCAGAGGGCAGTAGCCTGCAGGATCACTGATCTAGTTCTAACCCCTCCGGAATTGGCCTATAATTAGCAGTTCCAGCTAAGCACACAGATTTTCCTTCTGTGGCACCTGCTGAGCTGTTGCTATTGCTTTGTACCCCAGCTGGGAGGTGGGGAATCCATACTCTCCTGGGGTCCCTTTTCTGTTCAATCTTTAGCAATCAGGTCGCTACGCCCGTATCCACACAGGACAGCAATGTTCTCCCTGTCTCCGGTGCTGCTGGAGTCCCCAGGACAGAGCTTCTGTGCCAGCAGCCGGGGGCGGTGGGGGGGCTGTGCAAGGCTCGGGCGAGCAGCTCAGGCCAGCCCCACACACGGGGGGCTGGGGGGGGGGGATGGACCTCAGGCTAGTGCCACATGGTGTCCCATTTTCCCTTTTGGGAAATATGGTCACCCAAGCATGGCTTAGAGCACGGCCCACTTCCCTCACCCAGCCCCATTAACACGGCTCAGCCCAGACCTCAAAAAGACTGGCGCTGAGGTCTCTGAATGCCAACGATCCACCCTTTTCCAGCCCTGGCCTCTCTGCTGCGGGGGCCCTGTGCTCCTTTGTGTGCCGGTTTTTGCGAGGTGGACAGCTGGGAAAGGGGCTGAGGCACCAGCCCATGGGGTCTTGGCAAGTGGGATTCAGGAGGCCTGGACCTGCCACCAATTCCCCTGTGTGATTTTGGGCAAATCACTCAATCTCCCTAAATTCCTCATTTGTCAAGTGGGGGTAAGCGTCTTTTCTTTCCCCAACCCCTTGTTGGTTTGGACTGCAAGCTCTCCTGGGCAGGCGCTGTCTCTCATTGTATGTCTCTGCAGCACCTAGCACGACAAGGCCATGATCAGAGCTGGGATCTCTAGGGCCAGGATGTTTTTCAAATATCCGGCAGTTTACAGACTATCCAGGGATGCTGCTCATAATCTGAGGTTCTCGGCACTATACAAAACAGAGTGCAACTTTCCTTTAAAACTGCCACTTGCAAAGCGACTGCAAAGGGCGTGTGTGTAAGAAATGCCTTTTCTGTGGCTTTTTACTGAGTGGAGGAGGACATCTGGGTTCTCCTATTTCCTTTCTCCCAGCAAAGGAACTTGCCTTCAAAAGGCAACGAATTAAAAACTGATGAAGTCAAATACTTTATGTGTTCTACCCAATGCCTAATCAACCAGTGGAACTCATTGCCACATGATATTATGGAGGCTTAGAGGGATTCCAAGGGGGATTTGACATTTATACAGACCATAAAAACATCCACAATTATATTGCATAGCCTGAACATGTAAAATGGGACAAACCCTCATGCTCAGAGGATGGATCAACAACTGACTCACTCGGGCAGCCTGTCCCCTTGTGGGATTTCTTGCACCTTGCTCTGGTACTACTGGAGACAGGTCAGAGGGCTCAGACAGACTGACCGCTGGTGTGCTCTGGTAGGTTAGTCCCTGTGTCCCTGACGTGCCTTTTGTGCATGCAGCAGTGAAATCTTTCAGTGAGTTTAATTTTTGACTTGATCTTTTTTAGGCTTGGTGTCGTCACAGCAGCTGTTGCGTCTGCAGCTCCAGAGAGGTTCCAGGCAGTAGAAAGTAACACCTCACAGAAGTGCGATCCGGTCTCCCTTGTGCTTTCCTGGCTCTCAAGTCGTTGAGATAATGGGGCTTCCTACCGAGCTTCCATATGGGTTGGAATCCAGGGCTATAAAAGGGGAGACAAGCTAGTCTGGGAGAGAGAATGCACACCCAGCCATCTCTGCTTGACCTCCAGCTGTTCCCAGCTCCCTTTAAGGAGCTTAAAAGTTTGAAGGCATCAATTGCATTATTGAAGTGATCCCCGCCACTTAAACCGCCTCTTTGATCAACACTTAACTGGTGTCAAAAGTTGCCCGACCCCGGGCTGTGCCTTTCTGCCGCACTGTCCCTGGATACATGTTCTAACTGCAAAAAAATGTCTGCCAAGCCAGATTTCATGCTTGTTACAGACTCCTTCAATCCGAAGGAAGGGAAGGGAAGTTGTGTGTGAAACCCCTGCTGCGGGAGAACTACAGACGCAGTGGATACAGGGGGCACCTCAAAGCCTCGTTGAAGTTGGTCTGAGTGGCTATTGAAGGGGAACAGTTTGCAATTAAAAGGGTGCCATGTGAAAAGCATGGGGGTGGGGGGAGGCGGAGAAGAGATTAGGTTGGGGAGGGGGTTAAGCCAGAGTGACGGGTAGAGAGCGTGTGTTGGGGGGAGGGGCAGAATCGAACACGGTAAGGGGGGGGTTTAACTCGCTCTGAAACTGATCCTCTCTGACAGCCCCGACCCCAAGCTGTGCTGATGAGAAAAGCCTGCTGTCCCCCCGCTCTCGGGGTCATCTCAAATAAATGTTAAAGCAGCTTGAGCCATTGATTGTGAGCATGTTCACCAGGGGGGCAGGGCCCTTGAGTGTGGACATTCCTCCCACCAGCACCAGGACTGTCCTCTCTGCACCTGGCCCACACCCTACATACTATGCCAGCAAAACCAAGCAGTGTTTTTAACATGGGAGAGGGAAACTCCCCCAGGAAGGGTATTATGATCCATTAGGAATTGAACCCCTCTGTTTCCCAGGTCCAGTCACAAGCAGGAAGGGAACTGTTTGCATAACACACAGCCAGAGACATGAGCCTTGTAATCCACTCCTCCGATCATTTTCACTGCTCTTCTCTGAGCACTTTGTCAATAACTTTCTGGAGCCCAGAAACATAAGAGTGGCCACACTGGGTCAGACCAAAGGTCCATCTAGCCCAGTGTCCTGTCTTCTGACAGTGGCCAATGCCAGGTGACCCAAAGGGAATGAACAGAATAGGGAATCATCAAGTGATCCACCCCCTGTCGCCCGTTCCCAGGTTCTGGCAAACAGAGGCTAGAGACACTATCCCTGTCCATCCTGGCTAATAGCCATTTATGGACCTATCCACCATGAATTTAACTAGTTCTTTTTTGAACCTGTTAGTATCTTGGCCTTCACAACATCCTCTGGCAAGGAGTTCCACAGGTTGACTGTGCATTGTGTGAAGAAAACAAACACTGTCCCAAGCGGGATCGCATTAATACCATGGGACTAACTGAAGATGATGTTTTTATGTATGTCTCTATCTACATTCACCACAGCATCTAAACGTTTCTTAAACATTGATCAGTTCATCCCTGAGAGGGAGAGAAGTGCTATTATCCCCATTTGACAGCTGGGGAACAGAGACACAAGTGACTTGCCCAAGGTCATGCTAGGAGTCTGTGGCCCAGCTAGGATGCGGTCTTGCATCCCAGTCCAGTGTCTTAACCACAAAACCAGCCTTGGATTCTTTTGCAGCCATATCCCATTGTGACCTCCTGACTAACCTGCTCTCAGTTCTCCTCTTCACTGCTTCCCCAGTTCCGCTCTGCCTTCAACTCCATGTGTCAGGAATTCATTTTTCTCTGATGCATTTTCCCAAGCTACATCTCATTTGGTCATTGCCTGGCCATATTCCTAATCTCTCAGTGTCCCTTTGCACTTTATTGTTTCTCTGTCCTCATCAGCATTTCATGGATTCAGAGATTCCAAAGCCAGAAGGGACAACTGTGATCACATAGTCGGACCTCCTGTATAACACAGGCCATGGGACTTCCCTGAATTAATTCCTCTGAGCTAGAGCAGAGCTTTTGAGGGAGGAGGGGGGCAGGGGGCCTAATCTTGATTTTAAAATGGCCAGTGATGGAGAATCCACCCCAGCGCTTGGTACGTTGTTCCAATGGTTAATTACTCCCACTGTTAGAGATTTGCAACGTATTTCCAGTCTGAATCCATTCAACTTCCAGCCAGTGGATCTTAGATCTTTGTCTGCTAGACTGACGAGCCCCCTCTATTATCACATAGGTACCTACATGGGGGGAAAACTATCAACTGTGATCAAGTCACCCCTTAACCTTCTCTCTGTTAAGCGAAATAGATTGAGACAAGGCAGGTTTTCTAACCCACTAATCTTTCTCCTGGCTCTTCTCTGAGCCCTCTCCAATGTACCACCCCCCTTCTGGAAGTGTGGGACCAGAACTGGATACAGAAGTTGCTTCAGGATCAAACTCCTCCCAATTTACTGCCACTCCCGGGTTTCATGGCAGCATAGTCACGCCCTCTCTTTGAGATCAGGTATGAAGAGGAAAGGATCAGCCCTAAAGGGGCAGGTGGATTTTTTGAGAAGGGCACCTTTGCGTTAGGGAATGAGATCCATGCAACTGACTTCACATAGGGCATTGAATGGCCCCATCCAATGGGAACAACCTGCAGTTACTGCCAACATGGGCAGGATGTAAACAAGTGGCCTCCAGCGGAACGGTCTCTCCACGCCTTCCCCCCCCTCCCCAAACTCC